CTCCTCCCTCCTCCCTCCTCCCTCCTCCCAGGATGGTCCTCCAGGGTCCTCGCCGAGGAAAAAATGCACACGTCCGAGCGATGCCGGGCGCCGTCGACCAGCAACGTGTTCGGCTGGCCAGCCTGGTCGGGCTGGCACGGCGGACCCAGCGGCGCATTTTCGTTCCCGGGCGGGTGTTCGAGGGCCGAGGTTTTGAAGGGGCCCCAGGGACAGGCAAATTCGCCGGCCCAACGGGCCAGAGGCGTGCTAAGATCTCCGGTAACTACTTAACAAAATTTCTAGTTCGCGCGCGCGGGGCGGCTCCTGGGGGCCCCCGGACGAAAAGTACCCCTGCCGATCCCCGGCCGGGTCCCGGGCGATCCCCAGGGGGGGGGGCTATTTTTCGCCACCCCTTACGAGGATCGTGGCCTCCGAGGGGGTGGCTGCAATCGACTACCCCCCCTCCCGCCCCAAGGGGCCCCCAAGAGCCCCCTAGGAGGCCCCAGGGCAGCCCAAGACGCCGCCAAGGAGCCCCAAGACGCTCCCAAGAAGCCCCCAAGAGGCCCCCAAGACGACCCCAAGAGGCCCCAAATAGCGCTCCAGGGCCGGCGGAATGAGCGAAGCGATTAAACAAATAGACACAGTTAACCGGATTCCCCATATTTTCCCGTGCGTTCTGGGTTCTTGTCTTCCCCCCCACTTCCCATGTTTTCCTTTACTTTCCTGGGAGTCGACGATTGGTTGTGTCTGTGTGCTCTTTCCTCTCCTGGGATCTGGAGGCACGGCGCGCCCTCGCACTGGTGTCTACCCCGCGAGGGTCAAGACGAGAGAACACTGCAGATGACCAGATCTGTCGAGGACAGCGGAGACGGACAGGAGCAGGGAACAGCGGCACCAGCACCACCAGGGACCACCAGCGCGAGAGAAGCCAGGCGGGGTCCCCCCGGTGGTGTGCCCCCCCCTCGCTCGAGACGTCCCCTGGGGCCAGCTCGGGAAGGCATCGTGGACCTCCTCGCTGGAGGTGGCCCCGTGGTGGTGTTGGTGTCGCTCCTCTTTCCCCCCAACGGAGGGAGAGCTGATCGGAGCTCGAGTTACCACGGGCAGTGCGGCAGCTCCGCGCTCCCTCCTCGCAACAAGATGCAACATCTGCCAGCAAATACAGACGCTTCGTGCACGTGAGCTGTCGGGGGATGCTTGCCAGCTTGTCAAGTTGCACCCCAAAGGGGCGCTAGCGCGAATCTCTCTCGATCCGAGCCAGCAAGATCAGCCCTGCCACCACCACCGAACGGGTCAAGACCACCCCCAACTGGCCAATCACCGCTGCCACGCACGACGCAACAGGGAGAGAGAGAGAGAGAGAGAGAGAGCGAGGGAGAGGAGAAAGCAGGAGGAGCCGACTCGGCGGGAGGAGGGAGAAGCTGACGGGTAATGATGAAGGTGTTCGACATGATGGATGTCGACAAGTCGGGCTCCTTCGGAGTCGATGAGGCTCCGACGGTAAAAGAGAAGACCTGGGTAACGATGTGCGCTCCCAGTGGTGGGGGGTTTGAAACCCCACCCCTGGAAAAAAGGGCCCCACAGTGCCTGCCCCAACGTGTGTGGCGGCATCCTGGCGGGGCCTTAACATCAACGTATGGCTTTGAGACCCCACACCTGGACAAAAAAGGCCCCACCGTGCCTGCCCCAACGTGTGTGGCGGCATCCGGGCTGTGCCTTCGCATCAGCGCATGGTTTTGAGACCCCACCGCTGGACAAACAAGGCTCCACCCTGCCTCAACGTGTTCGACGTGTGTATGAACGGCATCCGGGCTGTGCCTTCGCATCCACGCGTCGCTCTGAATGCCTAGCCCGCTCGAGCCGGCGGCAAAAAAATCATCCCGATCGTGGAGCCGTCGGAGAGGGCTGTTTTTGTTGAGGGGGGGCCACCATGGGCCGAACCAGTACAGTGGCGCCTAAGCCGGCGCCGCTGAAAACCGGGGGCAGAGCAGGAACGACCTCGAGGAGGCGCAGGAGGAGGCAGAAGCACAGAGGGCACGACCGAAGCGACTCGACGACGGTCGGCGGGGTTGGGCAGCCCCCCCCAACAGAGCGGCACGCTCGCGCGAGGCTCGCGAGGGAGCGCAGGCGGAGGCACTGCGACCCGCACGGCCGCACCGTGTTTGTGTTAGGTCGGGCCTGTCCCCCGACAAGGGGGATTTTCGACGATACATAAGAAATACCCAAACAAAGAATCAAAACATAGTCCAAAAAGAGTCTGGGGACTATTTTTTGGTTTTTGTTGCCTTTGGGGGGCATTCTTGGGGCATTCTTTATTTTTCGTCGAAAATCCCCCTGTATTGGGGGACAGGCCCGACACAATGTTTGTGCCGCGGGCTGGCGCCGAGGCCACCGCTGCAGCTCGAGGCGCCCGGCAGACCTCCTGCTCCGGGGCGCTCGGCGCACCCCGTGCGGCACAGCTCGGCAGCGGGCGCACGACACCTCGCGCCTCGCGGCCGTCGGCAACCCAGACATGCTGGCGTCGTAAAAAAATCAGGACGGGAGGTTTTTCACTATTTTCGGCCCCTGGGGGCCCTCGCCGGGCCTCGGGAGCGTCAAAAAACAACTCAGGACGAAAAACCGGCCCCAGGGAAAGGGTCTAGATTTCCAGGGGCGCCGTCCTGAAAAAATCAGGACGTCGCATGTCTGGGAAGAGCTCCTGCTCTCCCGGGGCTGGCGGGGACGAGGCAGGCCCGGACAGCGCCCCGGGCCTCCGGCTGCTGCCACTCGGCTCGGGGCGCGGGCCCCGGAGGTCCGGACCACTCCCCAGGGCATGCTGGCCCTCCAAGCCGAGGCCATCGCACGGCGCTCAGCAGTGGGTGGGAGAAAAGCTAGGGCTCCCAACTTCGCGCTTCGCGCTGCGCGAAGCGCGAAGCGCGAATAACTTCGCGCTCTCGCGCCGCCCTCCCAAAGGGAGAATAGGAGGACGAGGAGGAGGGGGAGAAGGAACGAGGACCGCGAAGCGCGAAGCGCGAATAACTTCGCGCCCTCGAGGGAGCCCTTGAAAAGGGAGCCAACTGGGGAGCGCGCAAAAACCTCAGCTGACCGCGCCTGGCCGCCTTCGAGGGCCGGCCTCTCGCCCGGAGCCGTCTGTGGGGCGCTCCCGAGGCCCAGCGAGGGCCCCTGGGGGCCGAGCACGGCCCAAACCCGCCCGCTCGAGCTGTTCCTGGGAGCGTCGGATCTCTAGGGTTGTGGATGCCATGACAATGGACACTCTAATAATCCCATCATTGAATTAAAAATGTTTCTAAAATGTGTAAAACGTGTTCTCTATATCTATATGCATACATATATATATATATATATATATAAAAATACATATATATATATATATATATGCTTCAAGCATGTTTTTACATGCTTAAAAACAGGGTTGAAACATGTTTTAGACATCTGGAAATTATTTGGCAGCATGCTTCCTCTCCGTGAACCGACTTCCACAACGCTAGGGGAGCTCACGGGAACCGGGAGGGCCCAGACAGCATGGCCTGGCGGGCAGCTGCAGCGAAGCCGGCTGGCTGGGCGAGGCGCCGGCCTGGCCATCCCTCGGACGTCCATTCCCCGTGCTTTGTGCGGTTTCGTGCGTGGCTTTCTCGCCCCCGGCTCCTGTCCAAGGCGTACCTTTTCTTGTGCAAGCTCTTCGGCACCGCCTGTACAGCGCACCCTCCGGCCGCCTGAGGCCCCGCCCGCCCGCGCCCTGTCTCCCCAATATTAGTGCTTCGCGCGCCCCGCCTGGCTCTTAACCGGAAGAGGCCCGCTCTCGACCCGCCGACCAAAAAGCGTGGCTTTCTCGCCAAGTGATCCAGGAAGCTTCCTCGACGCTCCCCGCCGAGGGAGAAATGCCACGCGTCCGCGCGATGCCGAGTGGCGGGCCGCGGCCGCGGCCGGCGGGCCTGGTCGGCCACGGGCCGGCGAGCGGCCGCGCGCCGCGGGCGCCTTTTGGGGCGGGCCCCGACGCGCCCCCGAGGCCTGCAGCGGAGCCGCGGGAGGAGGCCAGGCACGAGGAGGGTCCGGAGGTCCGAGGGCGTGATTTTTGTTCCCTCCGGCGGTGTTCTGACCGCTCGACGTGTTCACCGCCTCCAGAGAGGTATTCCGTGACAGCCTCGTTTCGCCGTTGCAGGATGTTCGCCGCCGAGAGGGTTGCTTGAGTTTTCCGTGTAGAGAACAAAAAAAAAGATTTCGGCCTCTGGGGCTCGTGATCGGGCCCAGGGGCCATCAAACACGAATCCAGGACGGAAAGCCACCCCTCGGGAAGGGGTCGGGACCTGTGGGGGCGCGGATTGAACATATCAGATCGGCGGGATGACTGGGTGGGTACAGTCGGCCCGTAGAATAAGGACGCACGATGGTGAGCGTTTTCTTATTCGGCGTTTCGACATTGTGCGGAAGGAGGAGGGGGAGGTGAGGGGGGGCTGGATCTGGACCTCTGCTTAGTGTGGCCGTTTGCAGCTGTGCGTCCTATGGGGGAGACTCCACATGCTTGAAACAGGCGCCAAAAACAGCCAAGATCTACTCCATGGGGTGGGGGGGGGGCGGGCGAGGACCCGCGCCGATCGCCAAAACAATGAATTAGAAAACGACAACATGAGGAAGGAAGGGCCTTGGCAAGCCATGTCGGCACTCTGTTGACCAGGCGCGGCCAGCGAACGCGGCCAAGGATGGGCCGAGTGGGAAGGCTGCAAGGGCAACCTTGGAAAATCGCTCTTCCTCACTATGCGGGTTGACTGTATATCCTCGAGCTTCCCCTGAGTTCCCGGCGTCTCAGCTTTTTCGAGCCGGGCGTCTTCGTCAGGTTTCAGGCTCTGGGACCCTCACAGATCGATCCAGCTCGAAAAGTGGCGCAGAAAGATTGGGTAGGGCTCCGGTCGTGATTTGTTTTACGATGTTCTGACTTTTTCGCGCCGTCGGATCTCAGGGCCACGACGAGAGAACCTGGGCGCCTAAGTCAGGCATCAGAGGACGCCTCCGACCGAGACGTTGAGGTGTGCATGCGGGGCAGCAGCACCGATTTGATGTCCTTCAGGTCCTTGGCCTGCCAGCAGGATGAGGAAGATGGATCGGACCGAATCGGACTCGTGGAAAGCAGGCGTTGAACCGAAGCCGTCGCGGATGTCGACTCGAAACTGCCGTGCGGGAACTCGGTATGGCTCCTTTGAAATCAACCCCCACATAGGCGTGCAGCCGCAGGGGGCGGCTGAAATAGGGGAAGGACGAAGAGGACAATGAGCACTAAAAGCCTGTGTCCCTGAGGAGAGGGGCCCTGGATAACTTTGTCGCTGTTCTCTTGCCCATGGGGCTCTCCAGGGACCCGGACCCTCCACAAACTGTCCGGGACAAAGAACTGGTCCTGAGGATGGGGAGGAGATACAGGATGGATACAGGAAGAAAGCACTGCATAAATATAAACTGTCGGAGGTCCGCGCGGATTCCTTGGACATGCGCTGGACCCCCATGGCGACGCCTCTGGCGCGGCCACTGATGCGCTTCGCGCGCATGGGAAGGGGGTCCAGCTCTGATCCAAGAAATGCACGCGGACCTTTGGGAATTTATATTTGTGCCGTTGTCATTTTCTTTCTCGAGCGGAGGAGGAGGAGGAGGAGGAGTAGGAGGAAGGAGGAGAATGAGGAGAAGGAAGAGGAGGAGGAAGAGGAGCGTGAGGCCTGCCGGTAGAGGACATGGAGCATCTGCAAATTCTCGATTGGCATCTCGTCCAGGACCAAGCAGCACATGCCGTCGACCCATTCGGCTTGAGTTATCCGTCCAGTCCCATCTGCATCGAGCAGCCTGAAGAAGTCTTCGAGCTTATATGATTTCAGCGCACGCAGCACTTCGGGGGGCATGGGCAGGATGCCCATCCTCGCTAGGTCGAGATCTGCAAAGCGGATATACCCTTGGCCTTCTGAATCGAGATGCTTGAATAAGTTGTTGAGAATCGGTACCAACGCCTCCAACCTGCCCCTGATTTGAATGCGCTCCAATTCTGCGTCCTGGCAAGAAACTTTGATAGCATGATTCACGATCACAGCCGTAATACGCCGACCCCTTGGGTCTCCTCAGTCTATGAGATACTTGCCCCTCCGCCAAACGCCTCCCCCAGGAGTGTGGCCTGGCTGGTTTGAAGAAAGCTGGGGGTCCCGCCGAAGGGGCCTCCGCACTCATCTGGCCCTGCAAAACTCCCACACTGCCATGAGACGGGCCATCATGGGCGTAGGACTGCTCCAGATGGTCCGTATCGCTCATGTTTGCTCACAGACAGCATGAGATGGCCTCAAGACAGACCAAGAGGTCCCCAAACGCCACAAGAGGACCCAGAGAGGACAGCCAAGAAGACCCCGCATGATATCTGTTTTTGAAACTCTCCACCCGACAACTCCTAGCCCAGAGCCAACCCTGACCCCCACCTCATCCGACATCCCTGCCGCCCTGGGACGTCGGCTCTTGAGAACCAGCACCGGACAGTTCCTGGCCCTTGACTCCCCACTTCGCTCGACATCCCCAACGTCCTGGGACCTCTGATCTTACGACCCACTATCGCCCGACATCACTACGCCCTGGGACCTCTACTCTTGCTGTACAACACCCAGCAATTCCTGGCCCGGAACCGACCCTGACCCCCCACCTTGTCCGACATCCCCAGCGTCCTGGGACCTCTGTTTCTGAGACCCACCACCGGACATTTCCTGGCCCGGACCACCGCCATGGGACTTGTGCTCTTGATACACAAAACCCAGCAATTCCTGGCCCAGAAACGACCCTGACCCCCCGCCTCTTCCAGCGTCCTGGGACCTTCGATCTTGAGGCCAAGCATCCGACAACTCCTAGACCGAAGCCGACCCTGAGTCTCCACCTCGTCTGACATCCCCACCGCCCTGGGATTTTGGCTCTTGAAACCCAGCACCCGAAAATTCATGGCCCAGGCACGACCCTGACCCCCACATCGTCCGACATCCCCCCAGCGTCTTGGGACCTCTGTTATTGGACCCAGTACCCAACAAATCCTGGGCCCGGAACCGACCCTGACCCCCCAGCTCGGCCGACATGCCCCAGCGTCGTGGGACCTCTGTTCTGGAGACCCACCACGCGACATTTCTGGGCCCAGAAGCGACCCTGACCCCCACCTCGTCCAGCATCCCCCCTGCGTCCAGGGACTTCTGTTAGTGGACCTAGCACCCGATAAATCCTGGCCTGGAACCGACCATGACTCCCCACTTCGTCCAGCATCCTCACCGCCATGGCACATTTGTTCTTGAAACCCAGCACCGAAGAGCTCCTGGCCAGGAGCCGAACCAGACCCTCCACCTCGTCCGACATCCCCACACCGTCTTATGACCTCTACTCTTGAGACCCATAGGGAACTCCACCGAAGGTCCCAGTGGGACCGCCCGCATGCGTCAGCCACCACCCAGCACAGCCCTTGCTCCCTGCGTTTCACCCACCCAGTACAGCGCTGCGTGGCCCCATAGGGAGCTCCACCGAAGGTCCCAGTGGCACCGCCCGCATGCGTCAGTCACCACCCAGCACAGCCCTTGCCCCCTGCGTTTCACCCGCCAAGTTCAGCGTTTCGTGGCCCCAAAGGGAGCTCCACCGAAGGTCCCAGTGGCAACGCCCGCATGCGTCAACCATCACCCAGAACAGCCCTTGCCCCCGTTTCACCCACCCAGTACAGCGCTTCGTGGCCCCACAGGGAGCTTCCAGTGGGACCGCCCGCATGCGTCAGCCACCACCCAGCAAAGCCCTTGCTCCCTGCGTTTCACCCACCCAGTACAGCGCTCCGTGGCCCCATAGGGATAAGGTCCCAGTGGGACCGCCCGCATGCGTCAGCCACCACCCAGCACAGCCATTGCTCACTGCGGTTCACCCACCCAACACAGCGTTTCGTGGCCCCATAGGGAGCTCCACCGAAGATCCCAATAGCACCGCCCGCATGCGTCAGCCACCACCCAGCACAGACCTTGCTCCCTGCGCTTCACCCACCCAGTACAGCGCTTCGTGGCCCCATAGGGAGCTCCACCGAAGGTCCCAGTGGGACCGCCCACAGCGTCAACCACCACCCAGCACAGCCCTTGCTCCCTGCGCTTCACCCACTTAGTACAGCGCTTCGTGGTCCCATCGGGAGGTCCACTGAGGGCCCTAGTGGCATTGCCCGCATGCGCCAGCCACCACCCAGCGCAGCGCTTCGTGGCCCCATGCGTCAAGCACCACCCAGCAAAGTGGCACCGCCCGCATGCGTCAACTACCACCCAGCACAGCCCCTTTACCCTGCGTTTCACCCACCCAATACAACGTTTCGTGGCCCCGTAGGGAGCTCCACCGAATGCCATTGTGGGACAGCCCGCATGCGTCAAACACCACCCACTACAGCCCGTGCTCCCCGCGTCTGCTTCGTGGCCCCATAGGGAGCTCCACCGAAGGTCCCAGTGGGACCGCCCACAGCGTCAACCACCACCCAGCACAGCCCTTGCTCCCTGCGTTTCACCCACTTAGTACAGCGCTTCGTGGCCCCATCGGGAGGTCCAATGAAGGCCCTACTGGCATTGCCCGCATGCGTCAGCCACCACCCAGCGCAGCGCTTCGTGGCCCCATAGGGGGCTCCACCGAAGGTCCCAGTGGGACCGTCCGCATGCGTCAGCTACCACCCCGTACAGCGCTTCGTGGCCCCATAGGGAACTCCACCGATAGTCCCAATGGGACCGCCCGAATGCGCCAGCCACCATCCAATATCCAATACATATTTTCGTGGCCCCATAGGGAACTCCACAGAAAGACCTCATTTGCACCGCCCGCGCGCGTCGTCCACCACCCAGTACTCCATTTCGTGGCCCCATTGATTGGGAGCTCCACCAAGCCCCAGTGGCACCGCCCGCATGCGCCCCCCCCCACCGGGTAAAGCGTTTCGTGGCCCCGAACGGAGCTCCGGTGGTCCGCCCGCATGCGACCCCCCACCGGATACAGCGTTTCGTGGGCCCATAGGGAGCTCTACCGAAAGCCCCAGTTGCACCGCCCGCATACGTTCCCCCCTCCCAGTACAGCGCTTCGTGGCCCCTTAGGGGGCCCCACCGAAGCCCCCACTGGCACGCATGCGTCGGCCACTAGTACAGCGTTTCGTGGCCCCGTAGGCAGCTCCACAGAACGACCGCAGTGGCACGGCCCGCGTGCGTCCCCCCCAACCAGTACAGCGTTTCGTGGCCTCATCGGGAGTTCCAGCGAAGGGCACCGCCCGCCTGCGTCCGCCACGCCCAGTACAGCGTCTCGTGGCCCCATGGGGAGCCCCACCGAATGCCCCAGTGGCACCGCCCGCATGCGTCTCCCCCACCTATTACGGCACGTCCCTCACGCGTGTCGTGGCCCTATAGAAAGCCCCACCGCAAGCGGCACGCAAAACGCGCTACTCACAACTGCATATGGTTGGGTCCTTCGCCAGGATATTCTATATCATTTTCTAATAGGAGTAACACTAAGAATAATAATGCTAAAGATAATAATAGCAATAACAATGATAATAATAAGAATAGTGATAATAATAACCATAATAAGATTGGTTATTATTTTTACACACCCAAAACAAACAAAACACAAAAACGGACGTTTGGAACCGACCCTGAGACCCCACCTCGTCCAACATACCCACAATCCTCCATACTGTCAGTTCCTGCCCGGAACCGACCCTGACCACCTTCCTTGTTCGATATCCACCCATCGTCCTGAGACCTCTGTTATTGGGCCCAGCACTCGCCAATTCCTGGCCCAGAGTCGGCCCTGACCCCCCACCTAGTCCCCACCGTCCTGGGATCTCTGCTTTTGGGACCCAGCACCCGACAATTCCTGGCCCGGAAAACCCCTTCTCCCCTACCTCGCCCGACATCCCCACCGTCCTGGAACTTCTGCTCTTAAGATCCACCAGCCGACAATTTTTGGCGCGGAACCGACCCCAGCCCCCCATCTCGCCCGACGTGCCCACCTTCCTGGGGCGTCCGCTGCTCAGGCCCAGCACTGGCCTGGTACCGACGTGAATCCCCCACCTTGTCCAGGGATTCTGTTCTCCAGAAAAACAACCCGACAATTCCGCGCTTGGCTCTGACCCTGGCCCCCCACAATCCTGGATGCCGACAGTTCCTGCCCGGAACCGACCCTGACCATCTTCCTCGTTCGACATCCACTCATCGTCCTGGGACCTCTGTTATTGGGCCCCAGCACTCGCCAATTCCCGGCCCAGAACCGACCCCGACCCCCCACCTAATTTAGTCCCCACCGTCCTGGGACCTCTGCTTTTGGGACCCAGCACCCAAGAATTCCTGGCCCAGGTTCGACCCTGACTCCCAACCTCGTCCGACATCGGGTCTTGAGACTCTCCACCCGACAACTCCTAGCCCAGAACCGACCCTGACCCACACCTCGTCCGACATCCCCCCCGCCTGGGACGCATCAGCCCTTGAGGCCCAGCACCCGACAACCCCTGGCCAGGAACCACAAGGACCGACACCCCCAGCGTCGTTTGACCTCTCTTCTCGCGCCCCTCCTGCCGATAATTCCTGGTCCAGAACCGACCCCCGATTCTGACCCCCCCCACCTCGTCCGACATCCCCACCAAACTGGGACCTCTGCTCTTGAGAACAACCACCGGACAACTCCTGGACCGCGGCCGACCGCGACCCCCACATCGTCCGACATCCCCCCACCGTCATGGAACGATCCTCCATGTCGTCCGACATCGCCACCGTACTGGCCTCTGTTCTTCAGACCTACAACGAGACAACTCCAAATTAGCCCAGAACTGGCCCTGACCCTCCACCTCGCCCGACAACCCCACCGTCTTCGGACCTCTACTTTGGAGACCCACCAAGCGACAACTCCTGGACCTGAACCGACCTTGGCCCCTCACCTCGTCCGTCCTGGAACCTCTGTTCTTGAGACCCAATACTCGCGAGTTCCTGGCCCGGAACCGACCCCCACCTCGTCCTACATCCCCACCGTCTTGGGACCCCTGCTTTTCAAACACAGTACCCGACAATTTCTGTCCCAGAACCACTCTGACCCCCCACCTCGTACGACATCTCCACCGTCCTGGGACCTTCGCTCCTGCAACCCAGCACTCGACAATTTCTGGCCTGGAACTTCGACATCCCCACCGCCCTGGGATTTGTGCTCTTGAGACCCCGCATCCAACAATTCCTGGCCCGGAACCGACCCGAACCCCCCCACCTCGTCGGACATCCCCGCCGTCCTGGGACCTTCTGGCGACCCAGCACCCAACAATTCCTGGCCCGGAACCCCCCCTGGCCCCCAACCTCGCCCGACATCCCCACCGTCCTGGGACCTACAGTCTTGTAACCCAGCACCCGGCATTTCCTGCACCGGAACCCACCCTGACTCCATACCTCGCTGGACATCCCCAGCGTCCTGGGACCTCTGAGACCCAGCACTCGCCAATTCCTGGCCCAGAATCGACGCTGACCCACCCACCTCGTCCGACATCCCCACCGTCCTGGGACCTGTGCCCTTGAGACCCAGCACACGGCAATTCCTACCCCAGAACCTGGGGCGTCCGTTATTGGGACCCACCGGCCGACAATTCCTGGCACGGAACTGACCCTGACCCCCCATCTCGCCCTACATCCCCACCGTCCTGGGACCTATGCTCTTGAGACCCAATACCCGACAGCTCCTGGCCTAAAACCGACCCTGACCCCCCACCTCGTCCGACATCTCCACCGCCATGGGGCCGTTCTTTTCCCTGGCCAGGAACCGACACAGACCCCCCAACTCGCCCGACATCCCCACCGTCCTGCCGCTGTTGTTCTTCGGAACCCAGCACCCGACAGTTCCTGGTCCGGAACCGAGCCTGACCCCCCACTTCGTCCGACCCGTCCCCCCACGTCGTTGCGACACAGCACTCGGCATGTTCTGGCGCGGAACAACCCCTAACCCCCCACCTCGTCCGACACCCCCACCGAACTGGGACCTTTGTTCTTCAGACCCAGCACCCAACAATCCCTGGCCCGGAACCGACCCTGACCCCCCACCTCGTCCAACATCCCCACCATCCTGGGACTTCTTTTCTTGAGACCCAGCACCCGACAAGTCCTGGCCAGGAACCACTCCTGACCCCCACCTCGTCCGACAGCCCCACCTCCCTGGCTTCTCTGCTCTTGTGACCCAGCACTCGAAAATTCTTGCCCCGAAAAACCCCCACCGCCCTGGGACCTGTGTCGTGGCCTGGAATTGACCCTGACCCCCCACTTCGTTCGACAACCCCACTGTCCTGGGACTTCTGTTCTTGGGACCCAACACCCAACAATTCCTAGCTGGAACCGACGTTGACCCCCCACCTCGTCCGACATCCGCACGGGTCTTGAAATACCCAACAATTCGTGGCCCAGAACCGATCCTGGCCTCGTTCACCTCCATTCTTGCGACACTCCACAAGATAATTCCTGGCCCCAGGCGGATCCTGATCCCCCTCCTCGTCTGGCATCCCCACCGTTTTCGTGGCCCACCATCCGCCAATGCCTGGCCTGGAACCTATCTTGACCGCCCACATCGTCCAATATCCCCAGCGTCCTGGGACCTCTGCTATTGAGACCCAACGCACAACAATTCCTGGCCTGGAACGGACCCTGACCCCCCAGCTCGCCCGACATCCCCATCGTCTTTGGACCTGTGCTCTTGAGACCCACCACGCGACAATTCCTGGACCGGAACCGACCATGACCCCCCACATCGTCCGACATCTCCGCCGTCCTGGGACCTCTGTTCTTGAGAGCCACCACTGGACAATTCCTGGCCCGGAGCCGCCCTGACCCCCCACCTCGCCCGACATCCCCACCGTCATCATCCCCCCCAAGCAGCCCCAAACCGGCAATTTGACCCCCCCGGCTCCGCACGACCACCCACCCACCCCCAACGCGTCTTGGAAGCACAGCGACTCCACAACAGGCCGGAGCTGGCTTCCTCACGCTGCAGAATGTCACCGAGACGCTCCAAGAAGCCTCCGAGAAGCCGACCAAGAGGGCACCCCGAAGCACTATTCAGTGCTTTGCTTCGAACTGTCTCGGAGGTGATGCCGTTCAGGTTTTGTCGATTCCCCAACGCTGCAGAACCGCGCCAGGAGCTTCCGAGATCACCCCAGAGCGGCCGAAGGGGCCTCCAAGAGGGATCCAAGACTGCCAAAGAGGTCCCCACGATGGCCCAAGAGGCCTCCCAACGGCGCAAAGAGCTCCAGAGACGGCTCCAAGAGTAGGCACGAGGGGCCAGAAGGGAGATGTCGAGCCCTCGACTTCGAGGAGATGGTAGGCGGTCCCAAGAGGCCCTCAGCAGGCGCCGCGCAGGCCCCCCACAGAGGCCTGCCCGATTCTGATGGGGTCGACGGCAGAGGCGGCAACATTTGAATCAAGTTCATGATTGCCATCGGCACCACAAGCAGAATCGGCAAGAAGTAAAAGAGCAGCACTGGCTTCGCGCGAACCAGAGGATGGTAGATCTGAGAGGCCCCGTCGCAATAAGTGAACTCCAACAGCGTGAGCATCAACACCGGGATTGACCTGAAGCGGTTTGCCACGATGTGCCCAGCAATGGGGTCGGAGAGCAGGTCCTTGTCCAGGCCGATGACGGCCACCCCAGCACACGCGAACACGTAGATGGTCCCGAAGAGTAGCACCCCGGCCGCCGTCACTGATCCGTTTGACCCCAACAAGCCCTTCACCAGCTTCCAGAGCGGCTGCATGACCCTCAGGAAACGGACAGCCCGCACAAAGCGAAGCAGGCGAAGGATTCGGATCACCAGCACCTTGTCCAGCACTTCGACGGCCCCCTGCATCAGCAGCAGCGGCTCCAGAACCCACAGCGTGACCACGCCTAGGGCGACAAGGGCGATGTCCAACTGGAGCCACGCATTCCGGATGCACTCCTGCAAGTCACTGACCATGCGCAGCGAGAGCTCCACGATGTAGGTCGCCAGGAAGCAGTGCTCCAGCGCCTGGAACACGGGAGAGCTCGGAGTCTTGCTGCCGACGCTCTCCTGGATCTCCAGCCCGATGACCAAGCAGTTTGCAACGATGATGGCGGACATGAAGTAGTCGAACAGCGGGCTCTGGATGATGCCGAAGGCGGTGCGCTTCACCAGGGAGGGTCGCCGAAGTTGCAGGGCCGACGAGAGGAGGGCGGGAGACGCCGCGAGAGGCGGCGCGTCCAGACCGCGCTCGTGCAGGGCAAAGGTCGTGAGCTCGGCGGTGGACCTCACCACCCTGCCGTCGGGTGTGGCGGTGGAGTCGAAGCGCTGGCCGGTGATCATCCTGCTGGCGAACAGCCGCCAGCGTGCCCCCCGTGGCACGCTGAGGCGCTGCGGAGTGCCGAGTGCTCCTCCTCCTCCTCCTCCTCCGCCTCCTCCGCCTCCTCCCTCTTCCCCCTCTCTCCTCCTCCTCCCTCCTCCTGCTCCTCCTCCTCCTCCTCCTCCTCTCCTCCTCCTCCTCCTCCTCCTCCTCCTCCTCCTCCTCCTCCTCCTCCTCCTCCTCCTCCTCCTCCCCCTCCCTCTCCTCCTCCTCCTCCTCCTCCTCCTCCCCTCCTCCCCCTCCTCCTCCTCCTCCTCCTCCTCCTCCTCCTCCTCCTCCTCCTCCTCCTCCTCCTCCTCCTCCTCCTCCTCCTCCTCCTCCTCCTCCTCCTCCTCCTCCTCCTCCTCCTCCTCCTCCTCTCCTCCTCCTCCTCCTCCTCCTCCTCCTCCTCCTCCTCCTCCTCCTCCTCTCCTCCTCTCTCCTCCTCCTCCTCCCTCCTCCTCCTCCTCCTCCTCCTCCTCCTCCTCCTCCTCCTCCTCCTCCTCCTCCTCCTCCTCCTCCTCCTCCTCCTTCAGGTGCCGACGCTGAAGCGCGGCAGAATGCCGAGCGAGTGCTTTGTGGGGCCCCTCCTTCTCTCGTCCCTCTCCGTGGGCCGTGCCTTCCCCTCTCCAGGACCCGTAACAAAAAATAGGGTCCAGCGCACTCTGGACGTTCATGCTTTGAGGCAACGCACGAGAGCCTCCCATACCATCTTGCCCGCTTTTGCGGATCGACGCCAGTCGTCGCTAAATCGGCGCTCATCGACGCTAAAAATCGACGCTTGTCGACGAAACCGACGCCAATTCGGCGTTGTCTCATCGACCCCCAGACGCTAGTCGACGCTAGTCGACGCCAAAGACGGAATTAAAAGGGTATACCAGGCTCCCATGATTTGCTATCGGCCAAGACGGGCTCAAGCTGGCTCCAGACGGCTCCAGGAAGGCTCCGACACGCCACACGAGGGCCCGAAGATGATCCCAAGAAGGGCCGAGACGGCGCAAGACGGCTCCAAGACGTTGCAAGACGAGGCCCAGGGGGCCACAAAGCGGCCAGGTGGGCGGTGACCCTCCACGCCCTCCCCGCCACGACCTTCCGACAGAGCCCGTGGAGAGCGCCAAAGATCTCCAAGCGAGCTCCAAGAGGATTCACAAGGGGCCCAAAAGAGCCCAAGAGGAAACAAGAGCGGCCAAGAGGACATCCACGAAAGCCTCAATCACACAGAATCCTTACAACTTCGACGTGCTCTTGAATATGTTGCGTCTCGGCCTTCTTCGCTCAAGATGTTTCCAATGCGAAAAGACGCCTATACGACGGCCCCAAGGCGCTTCCCAGGCGGCCCCAGCAAGGCCAAAGACAGCCCGAACAGGCCCCCAAGACAGCCCCGAGAGCCTCCCCAGAGGGCGGAGAGGGACCCAAACGGCACCAAGGGCCCCAAGACGACCGAACGGGGTCCCGCGAGGGCCCCACAGGGCCCAAGACAGCCTCCAGAGCGGTCCAGATTTGCCGCATGTGAGTCCCGTTTTTGTTGTTCCAAGGTTGCGCGAGGCGTCTCAAGATTGAAAGCAAAAGTCCCCAATGAGAGGCAAAAGGTGGGCATCCACCTTTCATGGATTGCCGCCGGGAGTGAGCACTACGCGGACAGCATAGACGATATGCGAGACCGTTGCAACACGTCGCAAAAGCCAGCACACCGACGCGCAGGAGGACGGACAATTTCTGCGACAAAGTCCACCCCCAAAAGTGTCGTAACGGCGCTGGGGCGCCGAGATGGGCGATTAGCTAATTAGCATGCGCACAACATGCACTACGAAGCATACACACGTCTGCAACTGCATGCATTCACACGCCGAGTCGGCCCCTGAAGCAGAACCAGACATCGTTGTAAACCATGCAAAGATATTCAGGCGAAGCGCCTACCCAGCCAGCCCAGCCGGCGTGTGCGAGAGGCCTTTCGACACGAGGCCAGCCCAATCCAAACTGAAGTACGCTGGCCCCCTCTGAATCGTGGCCGTCGTAGGGCAGATCGAACAAACAGGGCGGATCAAACAATGTCGAAATTACGTCGAAGGGAAGCCCCTTCCCTCCGTCCGTTCCCCGCCAGGGGGGGGGGGGGGCGCTGGGGAGGGGTCCCAGGTGGGGTCCACGGGGGAGGTGGCGGTGGCGGTGGAGCTCGTCCAGGTCCCACTGCTCGATGACATCGTACTGCCGGTAGAACACCTCTAACCCATAGGCAGCCTTGAGGAAATACTGGGCTAACTCTTGGGTGGCAAACCTAGCGGCCATGGTGCCCTATGCGATCTCACCACGGTTACTCCAAGGCTCCTCGCGCAGTACTTCAACACCGATGATGAGCGGGTTCCCAGGCCAGCCCATACCGAACCAAGTAACGACCAACTCCAGCAACTCCTCCCCCCGCAACACTGGAAGGCCCTGGATGTAGATCTGCGACTCTGGAACAAGACTTGGGAAACCTGGACGTGAGCGGGCAGCGAAGATCGGGCGCAACTCAGCGAGGTTCCAGGGCACCGGAAACCACTGGGCAACCTGGATTGCAGCACTGAGATGGCTTGAACCCAAAACTCACGCACGCTGCTCGGCCCCGTGCCCAGCGCGCTCGGCCTGCAATACGGGCGGGCCTTCAAACAGCGCCATGGGCAACTGCCGACACACGTCCCCGAATAACGGCACGAAGCTCATCTGGAAACTCTCGCAGCTGTCCTGGATGACCTCGTTTCCATGAACATCTGCGAGTAACCTGGGAGCTGGTTCGCCGATCAAATTGCCAGTATAATTGCGCCAGAAGTTGCGAATCAACTGGGTAAACAATGCTGCGCTGCTTCGGAAAGGCCGTGAAATTGGAGCCACACATGACGCTGTTCACCGGTGGCCCACGGCAACACGTAAACAATCGCATATTCTGGGACCGCAGGATAGCGTGGACCTCGTTGCGAGCGATGTGCCCGCTCGTAAAAGGCACAATCCTGCAGGCCACGGATTGCCCACCTGAGGTGGGGGAATCGCCCCGGCAGCACCCCCGGCAAACGCGGGGGCCCCCGTAGGCTTCTCGGCTGAAACCGGACGCTAGCGTGGGCCGGCCAGCAACAGACCCGCCCCCCTGGCCCCCTCCGCAAGTGCCAACGAGGGCGCCACCTGAGGCAAGTTAACTCCGCTCGCAGATGCCCCCCCCCCCACACTGCTCGACGCACGACCGATCGCCTCAGCCAGCGGTTCAGATCCCACTGGGGCCCCTGCCGTCGCCACGGGAGCAGCGGCCGCTCACCTTGGACCTGGAGCGGCTGCGCCCCATGGCCGCGCTGCCCTCCTCGGCCACCTCGGTCGGCGATGGGCTCGGGAGCGGTTACTCAGACGTCCGGTTGTCGGAGGGCGACAAGGACAGCCTGTCATGGGCAACCTCTGCGATGCTGGACTTGCCGTGAGAGACCTCGTCGCGCACCGAGTGTACCCCGTCGAATCCCTCCCCCATTTGAAATCCAACGTCGGTTTCGATAAGAATTTGGGCCGGCTCGGACAACCGTTGGACAATCCTCCAGGCGTTGTTGGCTAACTCCGACCCTGGCCATGTCATCGGCAATCTTGCGATGTTTAACAGCCCGTGCGTCCTTGCCGCTGTCTTGCGCCACGTTGAACTGGTTAACCTGTTCCTCGAGCAGCTGGCACGCTTCCTTGCACCACTGGTCGAGCTCGCTTAATATCGCTGAGATCCTCGCTGACCCTGGCGACTCGGACGCGGGCAGTGAGCACCTCCCGTAACGCTGCATCGCGACCCACTATCATCTGTTGCAACACGGCGCAAGGCGCGCTGCGATTCGCCTCGGCCTGATCGACGCAGCGGCGGGCGCAACGTCCGGTCGCGTCGAACACCTGGCACACGCGGTCCACGATTAACTTCTGCTTGGTCAAGCGCACCAGGAGATGCTCCTTTGCAACTTCTCCCGGGCGAGGCCCGACTGCGGCAACGGGATCCTGGCGCACCAAGAACGTCGCGAGTTCGGGAGCGGAGCGGTCGTCAGACGCCATTCAACAGCGGCAGCTGGCAAGTTGGTAGAGCTTTGGAACTGGGGAGGCAGCAATAATAACTCCTTGATCTCAAACGGCTGCGCCCAATCAACACTGGGTGGCTGATGCTCGCCGATGTCTGCCGTCAAGCGCGAGCTGGCATGTGTCACGCGTGCGCTTACTGTTTATGTTGCAGCCAACGTAGTTGGTCGACGTGACTGCCAGATCTCCATCGGTGGAAACCTCGACTACTCTCACGCTTACTTCCCTCACTGTCTCTTGTAACCACAACTGACAGATTTCTACATGCCTCACCTTGCCTAACACTCTTCTGCCGGCTGCAGCAACTGCTGCAGTGGCATCGCTCTCCAGGGCTAACTTCACCTCGATCTCTCAACCCACCCCCCCCCGCCCGTAGATGTTGCATGCCTAACCATACTGACGATCCGCCCACATACCATAATTCTCTGCTTCGTCAGACGATAATGCCATAACACTCTGGGTCGATACCCCTGATCCGATGCGTTTTCCCCACATAGGGACTTCCCGACTCGTAGACTTCCTTGGCTGCTTGCATCCTGCGTAATCGGTATCCGTCCAAATGGTTCAACTCCCCAGGTAAATTCTGGCACCTATACAGGTAGCTATACCTGCTGCGCGTTTTCAAATACTCGCCGAGTCTAACTGAGGCTTTCCAGGTACCTCTGGGAGGCACATGACATGTCGTGGCAAGCTCTTTCACTGCAAATTGAATATATCACCGATACTGTGCCAGATAGGTAGCTCTCGTCACTAACGCCGGATACTTCTTCACATCCACTGGGGGCAACTCATCCGCCTTCTCCTCACTGTAACTTACCTTTTTCCCCTGGCACTGCTGATCTGACTCTGTTGCCGATTAGGCCGAACTCCTTCGCTAACATCGCCGCGTGCCTCTGATCTGCTTCGCGCCATGACCCTTCGCGTTCCAC